CCCAGACCATACACTTGAAAATATTTTCTAGAAGAGTAATTCTCTAAGATAGAACTGACAATTAAAAATAAATGAAAAGAGAATGAAGTGGGCTCTACAGCTTATGCTTAATTGAGAAAATATCAAATTCAGAAATAGAGGAATTTATTCACCTGCAATCACTGTTTCTTTTCAAGACCGTGTCAATAAAGCAATAGCTTTGGATCCATAGCCACAGTTGACTCCAATACATCCAGTTTTCCAGTGACAATTATAAAAAACAATCACTGACTGTACGAACATGAACGTAAATAAATTTAGCTTTGACATTCAGTGTTCCACCTGTTCATTTCCAAACACTGAAAACAGCAGTTTAGTTCATGACGTATCTGGACTGATATGCAATCAAACGCTAAACTAATATCCATCAGGCATCCTCAGTAAAAACAAATGAAAAAAACCCTACAATTTGTTAACTAAGACAAGAACGCACCTTTTCTTTTCCATTCCTACAGCGCACTCCTGGATAGGCGTTCCTTGTTTTCTTTCCCAGTTATTGAAAGATTTCACTCTGCCCTCAGTTACTACAACCTTACCGTGATTGAGAAGACAATTTCTTTCTCTGCAATTTTGTCCATGTCATCTCTTCTTGAGATGATAGGGGAGTCAAAGGAAAGAAGAAACAGGGAGTTTAGAGGGATGCCAAATTAAAACTATTCACTTTGAATGCTCTTCAAAGCCCGTTGCTGTCCTACTTATCTCTCATTCACTCCCTAATATACGAGATCATTTTTCCAATCAACTTAAAACACTGGCTTCCACCATATACTAATTAAAAAAAAAAAATGAAGTCTTTTGCACTTTCTCTAATGCTACTTTTCACACTCAAAATAAGTTACCAGTAAGGCATGCCTAACTCATTCAGCCTCCTAACTTCCTTCAGGCTCTTCATGAAACCTAAAAAAGATTTGACTTTTACTAGTTCACTAGTAAGCTGAGACTACTACTTCCTGAGCTGACAGAAGGAAATAGAGTATTTGCCATCTCTTGTCTCAAAGTCTTGCAGGCACAGGAAACCAGTTGTTTCTTGTTTTCATAGTGATTAGACTGAAATTGGGGCAGTTTGAGAAAGCAAGCAATTTTCACATCTTGAGAAGGAGTTTTCCATTCCAAAGATCCTCTTTTTATACTAGAGAAGTCCCACAATTCTTAAGGCTTTTTGTTTGGTTACAGGTTTGTTTGGAAGGTGGACAAGAGAAGAATCAGACGAAGCTTTATCTACTTCAGAATCATATGCGCTTCAAACCCCTGCCTCATACAACATCAACACTAGGGACTTCAGCTTTTTATGCCTTGGTTGAGTGCCTTGACCTCTAGTCAACAGCTATTTTACGGCAGCTCTCTCTCAATCTCTCTATGTGACATAATTACCTTTTCAAATTTAGTCTTCCTCAAATATCCCTCACCTTCCCTTTCTCCTAGATGGGACCCGAATATCTACATCTTACCTCTAAATCAACTGTATGCTTTTCTGAAACTACATAAAAAGCTGAACAGAACCCCTCAAACACCTTGTGAATGCTCAGCTTTTACAGTAATGCTACTTCAAAATTTCTGGCAACCTTGTCTAACCTCCTCAATTACAAATCAAGTGTTTTCTTGTTTCTTACCCAACCAGCATGAATGTACTAACTCTAGATGCCAATCACTGTCAAGAAATATGATTGTGAGGGAATGACAGCCTTTTATACGTATGTAATACAGAAGAGTCTTGACTGTGACGACCCATCCACTCTGATCTGTTCACAGGTATAGAAACACATACAGGAACAACGGATAGCTGATCCAACATGGGCCACTGTAGAGTCCATAAGAAAAGTAAACAATAAAATGGCATAAGTCTTACCTTCCCACAGAAAGTACTGTAACCTCTCCAAGACGGCTTCTTCTGTGCTCTTTAGATTTGTGAGCTGGCTTTATAAGGTGCCATCGCTTGTGACTACAACGAGTACAAATGTCCTTTTCTGCTACTCCTCCGACAGTATGGAAGTGATGGCCTTTGCAGCTGTGTTTAAATGGAATAGCACCAGGTGACAAAGGAGACCCCGGAGTTGTTGGACTCCCAGGAGTGGTAGGAGATAAAGGGCTATGAGAAAAGTATAAAAGAAATGTAAATGCTCACAATAAAATCCCATTTCTTAAAAGGGAAAAGGATAACATAATTTTTAGTTGTGTTTAATGAGCAACTCATTTATGGGAGACAGCTTACTTGTGAGGGTGTTTGTTTTAAGGTTCTCCCTGATATATATCATAACATGAATGTATTTTAAAATTTCTTCTGCAAATGAATTCAACTGCAGTAGTCAGGTTGTTTAACTAACACAAAGGGCAAGGAAATGGAAAAAAAAAATCAAGCTAAAATAGAGAAAAGAACAGGTTAAGAGGACTAATACGGATGAAAATCTATACTCCAGGACTAATACGGATGAAAATCTATACTCCAGGAGTAAACTTCATTAACTAATGAAGTTTACTCCTGGAGAACTAACAGAAGCATTTCAGAACTGTTACATTATCTTCAGGAACTCACAAAACAACACAGTCCCACAATATTGGGAAGAGGCAAAACTAATGTCTACCACGAAGAAAAAAAAGAATTAACAGATCATTCAGCTGAAGCCTCAGAAAAATGCTGGAACAGTTAACTTTAGAGGACCTAAAAGGTAAGAAAAAGCAGAGCAACCACTAGAATGCACCTATCGAGAACACAGCAAGTCATTCTGAAACAAAAACAAACAGACAGCATAGGCAGAAAGCAGCAAATGTAAAAAGAACGTTATGTATCAGTAGATTACTACAAAACTGGAAAGACATACTAAATGGAGTTATTCTGGTCCTGATGACATTCAGTGCTTTAGAAAGATTCTTGGACAATGGATTAGAAAACACACATACACACAAAACAACAGCTAAAGAACCCATGAACTTTGGGTCACCTACAGTAACTGTAGTGGATGAGACTAGAAGTTAAGATGATCAGAGGAGAGGGGAGGAGAAGCACACACCTATACACAAACATGAAGAAATTTCTGAAAAGGTATTGGATGCATTGCAGGAAAGACAACACAAATTCTAATACTTCAGCAGAAGTAATCAACTTTGCAAACCCAGATTAGAGAGCAACTAGCCAGATGCTTCAGAAAAGGAAGGCTGTTGCCAAAAAAGGACAAATTTCACAGTGGAAGTAACAGGAGTATAACTTGTGACATTACTGAAGTAATTCCTGTTACATTGCTCAGCATGAATCACGCCGTAGCCAGAGTGTTCCATCCAGCTCTGGGCACGTTATTTCAAGAAAAAAATACTGTCAGAGTGAGGAGAATCCAAAGGAGAACAGAAAGAACAAATTAAAGCAACAAAACTTGCCATGACAGACTGCAGTTACTTGGATGTTTACTTTCAAAACAAAAATATTGACAGGAGACATTTAATGGTCTTAGAACAAGTAAAAGAATATAAGGGAATTAAAATCTGTTCAACATGCAGCAAATACAACAAGTAATAACTAACCAGCACAAGTACGGATTTAGGTTATCCATTACTATTTCCACCATTAGAAAGCATTTCCCAAAGTACTGAATATATGATGAAATGCAATGGATTCCACTTGTACTACTAAAGCTTTAGGAATATCTGTCAGAAATGATGCGAGAGCAATCTTTTATATCTTGTAGTAACCTCTTAAGGCCCTATTCCCTTGACCCCAGTTTTAATGATACTTTAATTCACCACTAAAACAACAGTCTGAAACTCTCAGCATCACATACCCTCCGCATCAAAAGTCTGGGAGTTAAAATTCAACCAAATATTCCTGTTGTACCATACAAAGTATTTCAAATATCAAAATAACCCCCGTATGTGAGAAGAATAAGTTATTTTATTCAATAGCCAAGCCTTTTCTTTTTTTTTTTTTTTAACAGTTAAAACAAGAGATTAACTGTTACATAGGCCTGTTCATATTGCTAAATCTAAACGCACTTCCTCCCTACCACCTTTTTTCAATTATCAAGACAGTACTACTGGAACCCTCATCTCTTCTGCTTTGAATACGAATACAGTATTATATATTAAGAGTACCTAGAGTAGTGTTGTTATAGGTACCTATGTACAGGTACAAGCACTTTTAAACAAACTATGCATGCAGTATAAAATATGCCAATGCATATTCTTATTACCACATTTATAAAAAGTAAAACAGAAGAGGCATAGAAAGAGATGTCTGTTTTAAGTTAATGTCTGTACAAACGAAATAAGTGCTGTTTCTGTCTTTTCAAATCAGATAAGTTGGTTTAGTCCAAAACTACTAAGCCACATCACCATAAAGTAAACAACTATTTGCAGCTTCTGTAAATCTTTAGTGCAAAAAGCAATACTCATGCACTACACATTTAAAGCATACAACCAAAAGGGCAAGATACTAAAGAGAAGTATACCACAGGGCATATACTAAGATGTACTGACTCAGGAAGAACACCATAAGGAAATCAAAACATTATCCTCTTTGCTGATGACTCAAGAAGTGATGTAGTCTTAGAAGTCCACATGAAACAAAACCCTACCATAACCAGAAAACAGAAAAATCCCGCTTAAAGTCACTTAAGACACTTTTTTCCCTTGCTAACATGCTTTAGGTTTCATATAACCAAATTTATACTTCCAAGTTACAGAAAGTTAAAAACTATATATTACACATATGGTATTAGTATGTCAAGAATTTGCATTTTTAAAATAATTATTAGATATTTAATATGATGTCACTTGAACTAAATTTCCAGATTACTGACACTACATGTTGGTAGATTTAGGCAGTTAATAAACAGTTGCATTAAAGGGTGTCATTTCACCAGGCTTCTATTCACATAGGGTCATTGAAAAGGTATGTTCTTAGTTACCTCTGGAAACGCGTTAAGGAGAGTAATTACCTTTCAGGTTCAAAAACGCTGCTGTCTGCCACCATGGCCTTCAACACATCAGCATTTGCTGCAATAAGAATATACAGAATTTTTAAGAAGTGTACAGCTCTAACTTTAGAGAAGCAAACAGCAAAAATAAAGGTACTCAATGAAATTGCAGCGACAGTGGAGATGGCTGCATTATGCAAATCTCCAAAAAGGCATGAGATAAAATTATGCAAAGTCTTTAAGAAAATCCTGTAGAATTATATTATCTGAGATACTAAAAATTACAGTTCATATCACACTTGAAGCTCTACCTCACTACAAATCAAACAGCCTAGCCATCTGCACAACCCTCTCAAACAAGACTACTAGAAATTTTTAAACATCCTTTTGAGCACAGGAACGTAATTGCCTCACATGTAAAGAGCAACTTCAAAGATGAAAAACACCTATTCATAAATATGAGCCCTACAAAACAGCAAATTAGCTATCAGCCAAGAACTAAAAATTGATCATATATTTGAAAAAAAAAAAAAAAAATGGGGTACCTAATCCCAACTTGGAGGGAAACCACATAGGCTAAAAAGTATTAAGGCTTATTGAGGAAAAAAAACTTCTCCAGAGGACTAGTCTTCATTCAGGAGTAACTTAGAGGCAAGTCCAATGCTTAGGCAACTTTGATTTATACAAGTTAAAAAGACTAAATTTTCTTATACTGTAAAACCATGCAGTCTTCATTAGACCAGGCAAATGCATTCTGAACTAACCAAGCATTCCTTAGGCTGCTTAAGTTTGGTTTTATTTTTTCAATCGTATCTTCTTTCCCCTTTACTTTGTGCGCATACTACATGAAGATGTCATGTCTGAAACACAACATGAGAGACAATCTATCCTGTTTTCTCAGTTTTGCACAAAGCCTTCTTTGACAACAGCTGTAGGAATTATTTCAAGACAATCAGTTTGACGCGGTCAAAATGTAAAATTTTACCTGCTATACATGTTGCCATTAAAAAACAAACTTGAGTTTTTACTTCAAAAATAAAACAAAACAGAACAAAAAATCAAGCAAATCAAACACCAAAATACTTCATAAAAGATCAAGAAAGGCACAAATCAAACTTACACATAATAGTTTTCAGGTAAACAAAAGCCTTCCAATTTTGTCAGAAGTTACTGCCTCCTGAAGGCAACCTCAAAAACTTATGCATGTGCAAAAAGATTCTCAAATGCAAATACATGAACATACCATACTTCAGGGTATCTCAAAAAACGTATTTGCTATCAGGCACGACCACAAAGGCTTATAACTTCAATATCACCATACTATACCTTCATTTTTCATTATGTAGTTAACAATTTGTCCCACAGTGTCACTATTCTCATGCATAGTTTCATTCATTTCTGTGGAAGAAAATAAACGTTGTCAATATTTTAGCCTTCCAAAATGAGAATACATTTTGTTTGAAAACAAAATAAGAAAAATCAGAAGAATAGTACATAAAAAATGACAAGACCTATTATTGTTTTGGAGAGGAACCTCAGATCAGACTTTTTTGTTCTTGTTCAGGAAGAACACACATTTGTGGAATCTACATACACCGGTCTAAGATATTTTCATGCATGAAGCTCAGTATTTTCATGAACATACATCAAAATTCCTTTTCTAACTAATAAGGAGACACAAACAACAGAGCAGCATTTCTAACCCCTACTACAGAGGGAAAAGCAAATCATTAAACTGTCCAAAGGCATTATTTTAAGAGACATTATTGTGCTTCTGCTATATGAAGGATTCAATCTAAACTTTTCACAACTACAAGGGCTCAAATTTTGATTAAAATATACATGTGTGCGCGCGCAGGTATGTGTGCATACGTACATATATCAAGGTTCTTGTACGACTATAGGAGCAAGGAATTTAGAAGAGAAACATCCTGACTATGCTTAATCCCCCCAGAGCGAACTGCACTCATTGAAACAATGCTGGGAGATTCCTCTGAATAATCTCAGAGCACAAAGAAGAGAGAGAGGAAGCAGAGAAAAATTAAAAGGCATCAGCTTTGCCCTTCCCAAATAATCATTATGACTAGCTTTAAAAAACGCAGGATAGAGACAAGTTTGACAGGTGAGGCCCTACATCTGTCGCTAAGCAGCAAGTCAGGTGCTTCCCTTCCTCTTTACTCACCTTTCATCTTCAGCCTCATGCCTATAGCTGTGTCTAGTTGGACTGTAAAGTTACTTTTTCAAAACTAAGACTTAAAAGTTGTCTGCCTTTTACTACCCCTCACCTTACTGTCTACCTCTCACCTTGCTTTCTACTACTACTCACATGAAATAGCAGATCAAATAGTACCAACCGCTAAGTACGTGCCCCAGGCAGTAATTGCTAAAGAACATGCTGACATATCATTGCTGCATCACCTGACTCTTCAGTTCTCATAGAGTCCCTGTAATTTGCATTTGTTATAAGCCTGCTGACATGTTATCAATGAACTGGGAGAAAGGAAAAGGCCAAGGCATTTACATGGACTTGGCCATTGTATTTACCTAGCTACATGCGACCCAGGGTTACTAATAGCTCTTCCCAAGTGATACATTTTTTTTTTTTAAATTAAGACAAGACAGGAACAAGGAGCCATGAGAAGAGTACAAAGGAACAAGCATTAGAACAAAAGCAAAGATATCGTTAAGAAAAAAAAAAACGTATGTAGGACATGTCACGTAAAATGGAAAATAGTCAGTCTAAAGGCTCAGTTTTATGACGAGAAGGAAGATGAGAAAGACAGCACAAGTTTGCTTAACATTTTTAAAAGTACACCTAAGGCATGTTATGCTTTAAAGAGCAGCCTTATGTCACTCTTTATTAAACAGTTACGTATAGTACTCTGCTGTTACTAACAGCACGTGGAATGCAGAAAAGCAATCTGGTGACTCAGATGGCAATTTATAGCTACAAACATTATAAATAAAATAAATTAGATGTTTTGATCCCTCTGTAAGCTCTTAAGCTGTTTTAGAGGACTTGCATGGGAAACTGGAAGACTCCTAGTTTTGACTGGCAGAGACCAAAACCATATAACGGTAATAAAAATCCACATCTTAAAAATATTGTGTTCAACAGAGAAAGGACAGAATTCTCACAATAAGTTATTCTGTATTAGTAGCAATGTAGAGAAATGTGTAAAAGGTGTTTACTAGACACACTGATTACCTATTTTTTCGCCAATTTTTTCTTCTTCCACTTGTTCAGCCTCTGTTGTACAACGATATCCTTTTTTCTTAAGGACATGACAGATGAGGATCCCAAAGAGACCCATGATGAAGAAAACAGGAACCAATGCAAAGGCAACATATTCTGGGTGGTCAGGCCCGTTATCGTGGCCAGTTCTAGTTGTCAAAGTAGTTGTTTGCAAACCATGGCCTGACAAAGCTTGGAGAAACTCTCCATTACCTATGTAAATTAACAAACAGAGTTATTATGATACACTGCACAGCACCTCAAAGCATTTACATTATGAGCCTGACCAAATTCCATTAATGTCAGTGAGAACTTCTGTGACAACTGGAATGGGCAACATGGATTCAACTGCCTCAAAACTCACCCCTTAACAGTAGATATGCTCTATGAGTGACATAATTATGAAGCAGAACACATACATAATTACGTTATATTTCTTCAACATAACAAGACAATAGCAAGTGATATTGTAGCCCTACAGGCCTCAGCTCTCAACAAGAGGGCACGCATATTTCACAGAAGGATATTCACCACACTTCAAGACATCCAGCTGGACACTACTATTGCTCCTTCTTACCATCAGTGAGGAAAAGCCCATACCACTCCTCCAGTCCTAACTTTACGCAAAATAGCTAAAAAACAGATTCATCACTAATGTGAGAGTACATACAAAACTTAACAGTGACCCTTGCAAAGAAAAGGTATTAGATTTCAGAGAAATATCCATTCTTTTTTGCCTAATAGTGGGATTTCACAGCCCATGAAAGTTTATCTTCTCTCATTCTTCCTCCTCAATTTTCATCTTGTGCCAAATTAACAAAATTACAATTACTCTGTGAAAACAAACCTCAATAATTTTGAATATTCCTCCCTTAAATGACATAGTTTGGACAAAAATAACCTTTTTTCCATTAAAAAGATGCTATCTACAGTTTCTATATACAGGTTTATAATGTTTGACAAGCAGATGAAGCAAAGTATAAAATGTGTTAAATTACAAAGGAAAAAAGAATCACACTATTTACACACTAGGGTTAAAAATATATAAACTAACCATCAGCATAAAATGAGCTCCTATTCACTCCTTTGAGATTTGTACTTTTTAATTTGAACTTGAAATGGGAGGGTGAGAGGCTTTTATTGCAAAAAAGTTATAGAGTAGGCAAACACTAATTCTGTACACGTAAGTAAGCACTGTCCTCTCTTATACCCCTGGTACACTATGAAGTTGATAGGTGTATATCTCATATTGTAGATAAGCCTTTTGAAATACAGAATCATAGAACAATTTAGGTTGGAAGGGACCTCTGAAGGTCATTGGTCCAAACCCTGCTAAAAGCAGGGCTGATTAGCTCAGGTTGCTCAGATACCCACCTAATCAAGTTCTAAATCTCTCTCAAAGGACTCTCTAAGGACAGAGAGTCCCAAACATCTCTGGCCAGCTGTTCCAGTATTTAATCACCTTTATGGCAAACATCTCAGGATTTTCTCATATATCAAATATTGAAGCATATAACTGATTCCAGCTAAGTGCAACTGTTCAGCTAAACCCCAGATTACAAGTTTATGTTCCAAAAACACTTACTGAACTCCTGGAGGTTACACATGCCATATGAAGAGAAATAAGATTACTCTTGCATAACATGCAAGAATATTTGTATTTTTACTTTATTTTTTCTCCTTCGCTTCACCTGAAAACATGATGCTTGAGGCACGAAAGAATAACAAAAAAGAATGATCAAAAATCTAAACACTGTATTAAAGCATATTTTCCACCTGAATCCCATTAAAATGAACAAAGCAATTCATACTTTTCCCTATTAATTAGACAAACTGATTGAAGACTCTCACCAGAGAGCCATTTACATGACAGTGACATTTTCACAACAGTAATGATGAATACATCTAAAAGAAGCTTTCCTAAAGTAATTGTAGTACCACGGAGCCAGTCTCACATTACAAAAAGGGAAAATATGGGGAAAAAAATAATTATGTGCAAAAAGTATAACATCCTACATAACTATTTTTTAACTCAGAATCGACTCGAAACTCCATCAACTCAAAAACTACAGAAAACGTACACACAATTTAAAATAAAAATATACAATCAACAAGAGAGTGCTTATACAAAGGAAAGAGAAAAACAGATCAAGTGCTACCAAGTGCTCGTGCCAAACAAGAAGAAATTCTATATATCCAAGATAGCCAATCTCAAGTTCACAAGCAACTCCAATGACAGAGCTACATCACATTCAGAAGGACAGATTACTGTTGAGAAACCACTAAATCCCACCCCCTGAAAAAAAGGAAACCTCAGGGACTACTCAGGCTGACATTCCCAGCCCCGTTCTTCGCAAAGGCACGAAACTCCCACAAATGGAAACTCCACCAGGGCCCCTTCCCTTGCCTTCCCCTTGCCGCTCTGCCTCTCCTGCCTGCACAATGGTTCTCGGCTCCTTCCGGATCTGAAAGGTCGACTATTCCAGTCATCGTTACCGTAACAGCCAAGTGCTCTCCTTGGTGTATTTAAAAAAAAAAAAAAAGCCAATTGTTATGAGTTTCTTCTTCTTGTATATTCTCCCAGATAGAACTGTTTTTGTTTGGCAGTATTTTAGTACGCAGTTCATAAACTTGATTTTGTTTTGTAAAGAACCATTTGCCTGGTTAATTACAGTAATCTCAGAACTGAACCTTGCAAAGAATACTGCATGCTCACAAGCATTTAGGCACGTGGCTACTGATGCCACTCTTCAAAAGCCTGAGGTAAATCAAGTGTAAGTGCTTGCACAGTAAGGATCATCATTTTGGGTTTTTTCATTTTCTGTTTCTTTTTTACCATAGACATTTTAACCAAATGTGCTGTGATTTAGTTTAGTACTTCTGTCTGGAGAAGAACTAGGCAAGACGACACATTTAAAAGTATTAAAAATGCATTAACAAACATATACACTCCAACATTTCAGCCTATGTAAACTAGCCTACATTATTTTTCTTCAGGTGTGCTCAGAGAGCTAAAAAAATCTAACTCTTTCCAGATAGCTAAAAAAATCTAACTCTTTCCAGATAGCTAAAAAAATCTAACTCTTTCATAAAAATTCAACAAGTTGCAAATTTGTTTGCAAGATATTTTGCTTATTAATAGTAAAAATTAAATCACTATTTCTATGTAAATATTCACCTTACACAAAGACCATAAACTGTACTTGATGTCATTCAGTTTATATTCAAGATGGATGTAAAAATCCACCAAAAGGAAAAAAAAAAAATCTAAGTTAATTAGCTAGATCAGATACTCAGTGCGGTATATGCTCACAAGGAGAGCAAAGCACTTGGCATTCAGTTAGCAGACACCTCAACTTCAATAGGCATGATATAATGCAAAAAATAAGGCTTGCCTAGTTACGAACAATATATTTTATGTCCCAAATCATAGCTACGTCATTCATTTTATGATTCTTCTTCCTCTTCCCCAGAGGTATATTATGCTTTTTAACAGACTGTTGACAGTCTACCTCATTCTTATGACGTACAACGCTGCTTCACACAGGTTTTTACTGAAAGTTCAGGCCATAACAGCCTTCTGTAATTTGAGTCTATTCTCGTAGGAATTCATCTGCTTCTGACATTTTATATACCTGCCATCGTGTATCAGTCTACGTATTACAATTACTTAAAGTTTTGACAAAGATGTGCTCTAAATGAAAACCTTCGGAAGCAACATTCACAGCATTTAAAGTGGCGTTCAAGCTACAGAGCTCAGATTGCATTCATATTATGTAGCCTTGCTTGCTTAAAAAAGTTGCATTAGGCATGAGCATTCTCTGCCCTTCATCCTCACCTAAAAAGCAAATCAAGCTAGCCAGCCTCAGCCAAGAGGTAGCCTTTCGCATTGTTCCTAATCATTACCACTCAGACACAAAGTCAGTGTTCTTCTCTCTCTCCCCATCTCAGCAACTGCTGAAGAGCATTTTAGAGCACCTCTAGAAAGCAGAGCTCAGGAGGAAAAAAATTAACACATTAATTTGAAACAAAATATTTCCTCCTTCATTAAACCACCATTTTACATGATCTCTACATACTAATTAGACCTATATATTGTAATTAAGCACTGCATTCCCTCCCTGTTAGTTAAGTTATATTTGACCACAGAAACAATTACAAAACTACAATATCTTGAAGGACCGTAATAAGAATGAGGCTGGAGAGGACAATGTAAACAAAGGCATTGCTCTAGTTAGTAACAAGCTACTTCCCTCTGAAGTTTGATTTTGATATATATAAATATATATGTCATCCCATTAGAGATGTCATCGTGCTTCATTACACTGTCCCAAAGCAGGATTAACTGTACCTAGACAACTATCTGTCATGTGCAGCTTAAGATCCTGCAAAGGTAACAGCTCATATCTATCATTTTCTTTTTCACTGCAAATGGAGGGTCAGAACAATTCCTTCTTTATTATCTCCTACCACAATATCAGATTTTTCTTGCATTGAGTTACAGAACTAGTCTTTCCTTGCTTTTAGTAGCATGTACTTGAAATTTAGCATCGTCACAAGGATCTCCCCTGTACAAGGCAGTTATCTCAGTAAAGCTCTGCCTCTAGTGTTGATCTGAACAGACAACTCAAACTTTTCGTAAAACAGAGGAAACAAATCTCTAAAATACTTAAATATCGCTCAAAGAATGATTCATTCTTGAAAATGAAATCTTTGTAACCAAGATCAAATCTATGTAGCTTTTTATACAAACTACATAAGACTAACCATTAAAATAATTCATTATTTTTATTTTTTTCTAAATCTCTCATACTTAACTTAAGCTTAATCCACATCTAGCTGATTACTTTAGGCATATACCAGTTGTTTTTTGATTTTTTTTTTTTTTTTTTACAGAAAGTATTCCATAAATAACGATGCAATCTCCTCTACTGATAATGAATGCTATATTGTTACTTTACTGTTATTTTGCTCCATTAAGTCCATGCCATTTATTTCTTACGGCATGCCTTTTGGAGAACTTTGTTTATATTTTATAAATGTGACGTTAAAGCAATCTACACAATTAAACAGCTTAAGTACAGCTATAGTTACTATTTGCTTCTCTGTAAAATCTAAGGAGCTATACTTCCTGCTTTCAAGCATGGAAATGAAATGCAACTATCTCATAAGATACACAAACAAACTGTTCTGGCTTTCATGTTAACTAAATTATTAGAGCTATTTACTATGATCAATTTACAACCCGTTTATGTGCAGTACAAGATATATGAAACATTCAAATACAGCATATGCTCTGCTCAAACATCTTAGCTAAGCGTAGCTGGAAAACACGTCATCAGCTTATGCAGCTCTTGTATTCCTCATCACTGTGCCAGTCCTCCTCAAGGTTCAAAATACTTTAGACAAAAATGTTTGTTTGGGTG